AGGAAACCAGGAAAAGATTCAAGGCCGACAAAGAAAAATAAGAATAAGAGTGGTGGCTGAAACTTGTAGAAGATAAGGCTGCGGAACGCGCCGGAGACATCAGAAAGCTATACTCAGCCCTCAAAAGGATTGGCGTAAAGGACTATACCACCATCGAGGAGAAATACTTCACACCAGACGAGTTCAGAGAACACTTCCAAAAGGTATTGGACCAGAGATTCGAACGTGAAATCCATGAGATAAAAGAGACCGCGAAACTCACAACTCAAAGGTGGGATAAGAATAGTATACAGGCCGCGAAGGTTCTGGGACGAGAGATCACATGGCCCGAATTCAACAAGGGGATAGAAAGCATTAACGATAGTGCTCCAGATATCGAAAACGTGAGGATGATCGCTGTCAAGAGAAATGGAAAACATCTAAGACAAGCGTTGTTCCGATGCATCATGAAGATCATTAAAACCTAATCTGAGGACTTGCCAGAAAGGATCAAAGAAGGATGAGTAAAACCGCTACACAAGAAAAGTGCGAAAGATCTCAAAACCTACAGAGGGGTATGCCTCTTACCACTCGCAAGCAGAATCATAGCGAGAATACTTGCCTCAAGACAGAGAGTGGTCGGACAAAATCGAAGTGTTAGGCGAGAACCAAAGTGGTTTCAGACAAAACCGATCAACGGCGGACGCAACCCAAATAATTATCAGGGTAGACGAGTAGACCAGGAGGGTCCTAGGATACGAGCCGAAGAGTACACGACACAGACCAGGAGCGGTACTCCTGGATATAACTAAGGCGTATCCCGGGGTAAATAAGATTCTTATGTGGGAAATAGTAGACAGACTGGCTATACCAAACTGGATCCTAAGACTCCTGAAAGACCTACATGAAGATACCACCTATAAGATCAAGGGGAGGAATGAGCTGAGTGAAGGATGGCAGCCACAACGTGGCTTGCGAGAAGGATGCGCCACATCCCCCACTCTCTTCAATATATATCACTCCGAGGTGGTCAGGCTTGCAAAAACCTTATGAGAGGAAGCGGCAAAAGAAGCAAACAAAGAGTGCGGGCTCAAATTGTCGTGGCGTGCAGGAAGCAGTGTGCCGCCGAAGGACGTAGAATGGTGGCCACCAGGGCAGAGAGAGAAAAAATTGAAATTACGGAGAGTCTTTCGATTGGACTAATCGATTGGACAAGTGAACTCAAACTCGGGAAGGAGGTAGTCAAGCAAGCAATGAAAGACTACGAAGAAAAGTGTCACGATGGAAAAGAAGAGTCAATATCATTTGGAACGGAAGCGGCGAATAAGACCAGGATGCTTGGAACTAGAATTGGAAGGAAAGACGACTTGAAAGCCAGGGTGCAACGAGGAAACGCTGCTTGGTACAAGACTAAGAAATGGCTTTGGCGATCCAAGTTGTCCATGAGAACATAAGCCCTAGCCGTGCAAGCAGTCGTGGAATCAACAATGCTTCTCGATTGCATGGTCCACACATGGACAGCGACCGATATCCAGAAGATGCAGAGTGTTCTAGATAACGCATACCGGTGGATATGGAACCACAACCGGGGCCTGGCGAAACTGAGGATGCAGAAGGAGCACGTAAATGCATACGAGATAAGAGGACAACTGGGAATCAAGTCCATGCGGACAGTGACAGAGACGAGAACCCTCTACAGGATTGGCCACATTCTACGCATGCCGAACGAGAACCCACCAAGAGGATAATTCTCGGTTCCTGGGACCACGAACCTGAAGTAATAGGAGGCCTCAAACGAGGTACGTTATGGTACTGGCGGAAACTCCTGGGAAAAAGTCGGAAAAGACTGGACCAACACTGAGAACTTATCCAGAATCAGGAAAGGATGGAGAAGTTTGGTAAAGAAGCGCGTGAGACTCTTGATCGACTGGGAGGAAAAGATGCGCCTGACCGGAAAACACGACCCCAAACCACCCATGACACAGCCCCGAACATATAGAGAAGGCTTCACATGCAGGTGGGAAGGCTGCACCAGAGTATGCAGATCAAAAGGAGGTCTCACCTAACATGAAAGACGAATGCACTGTGAATCGAACGCATCGTTCAAGAGTACACGATGCTTTGGAACGTTTAACGGAAAGGCACAACTGACAAACCACAGCAAAGCCTGTCAAATTGAGGTGCAACACAACCCCGAGTCTGGCCGCGAGAGTCATGCCATATCTGCGGAGTAAAACAGACCAAGACCAACATGGCCAGACACCTTCGCAGGGTGCATGGGGTTGTGAAGCAAGAAGGAACCCCTCCATGAAGGCTCTGCTCTGGCTTACTTAACATGTTTTTATCTTTTTCCAAATCCTTTTTCTAATTTCAAACGCCGAAGAAGTAGGGTAAGTATCCATTGGAGGATGACCTCACTACTTTTTCAGGTCGTGAATGAAAATGAGTGGAAAGGGCAGGAGCGATAGAGATGGGAGAAAGAGGAGGCTGGAAGAGGACTTAGCATCCAAGGAGGGTGTGAATAAAGTACCAGCGAGAAGAGTGGACAAACCGTACCATGAGGAGATCACCACGGAAAGCATCTCGAATTCGCAGTTCTGGGCGATTCCATTGTAAATGGGATCTTTATCAAGAACGCGAAGGTTGTGACTTGTCCCGGTACGCAGATTCACCAAGTGTCCAAGAGGAAGCTAATGGACAATTTTATTCGCCTAGGAATTAAGAAAATTGCGATTCTCGGCGGGACAAACAACATTGCATGGAGAGATGGCTCAATACATCAGCCAGAGGAGTTCAGTGATCAAATGAAGGATTTCGTGGAAATGTATAAGAACGAAGGCTTTCAAGTAGTTTTAATGGAAGTACCATGGAGGAGGCACCGCGAAGAAGAAATCAAGAAGATCAACATGCAATACTAAAAGATAGCAAAGAAGGCGAAATGTGAGTTCCACAGATACCGACGGTTCTCGAAAGCCCATATGGACAAGAACGATGGGGTGCACCAAGCCACGGACCACATCCAAGTCCTGGCCAAGGAATTCTATCAGGCTCTCCAGAGGCTGTCCACTAAAGTATAATGGAGGACATACTAGTGGGGCCTCGGGGACCTGAATACTTCCGGAGAAGGCATCCAGGTCTCGAACGAGACGTAACGGAGAGAGAGAGAGAGAGATAAATAAAAATTTATCCCTAACAACAAAGAAAAAACACCAAGATAAAACTAACATTATCATAGCCTTCAACATACAAAACATCATGTATAAATTGTCAAGAATATGACATCATATCAAGCAGAAAAAAATTCAAAAAAGCAAAATTTGAGCTCAAACGCCCGTATCAAAAGCATGCGACCACTAGAGCTGGTTGATTCAATACCACAAAAGATTAGGACCGATGTTACCATTGTGAAAACAAATAAAAACACGAAAAGAGAAAACTTCAAACAAACTTTTGAAAACACATATAAAAGCGAAATTTCATCAAGTTTGTTCATTTTCTTTTTTTTCAATCAATCATATATCTGCTATGTTGAGTTTTTAACTTTCAAAGACTGTTTTCAATAGTCTCACACTTTTAAGGATTGCTACAAAATACAAGACAATCGAAGCTGCACTATGCAAACAGGCAGCAATTGGCAAATGGGAGGTTGCAAAATCAACGAAAATTTAAAAGAAAACACCCCTAGCATACTTACTTTCAGGTGGAGCTGCTTAAGAGTCAAATCTACCAACTGCGCCATCTCGGCTTTGTTTTTTCAACATTAGCCACTAATAAATGCATTGCATATTTTTAAATTGCAAACGCCAGATCTTTTTATTGCCAGCGCTAAATCTATTGACAACGCTAAAACAATTTATGTGAACTTATTTTGTGTAACATACATGAACTTTAACATTCACTTTCGTAAGTTAAGACATTGATCTTTGATTAGTGGCGTGATGTTGATATTTATAAATAGCGTGATGTAAAGTAAAATTCATGGTATGTTAGATGCTAATCTTGTCAATACTGATTGAGAACAAAAATTATATTCAGCCACAAAAATTATATTCAGCCACCAAAACCAGGCGAATCAACTATGAACTAAAGTTTGCAATCTCCGTTTTCAATAACATCAGGGGACGTCAGACGGACTAACAACCCGCATCCGAAAAATAAATTCAATTGTATAAGAGCTCAAATAAAGTGCAATATCATTGATATGCGATATTTTGTGAAAACTAACCCGATTTGAGAAAACTGGATCAATAGGCAACTTTTATTTCGCTGGGAAATCTGATGATTAATTTCCATTTTCGAAATTAGAAGTCGATCACGTTTTTCGTGACCTTTACACTTTTGCTGTTCGATAGGGGAGTTTGTCTTCCTTTTAACAATGGAAATACACTGAACTTGAAAAGTCAAACCAAACCAAATCACAAGTCAAACCGCGAAAAATCAAAAATGAGCGTGAATAAAATTTAAGACTTTTTCCTGAAAAAAAAACAATAAAAAAATCAGCAAGACCTATATAAGCGTACTCACTACGTTTATTACTCCTAAAAAATCGTATTAGCAATATAACCTGACTGAATTAGGCCGATACCCACTTAAGCTGAAAATTTACCAAACATTTTCCACATTGGAAGAAAAATAAGCGTATTCATAAAAAGAGTAAACACTTACTAAGCAGGCAGTATTAACTAGCGCATTTACCCATTTGAGCATTTTCAATTGACGCCATTATGTTAGCAAAGTTGTTTACGGGAAAAAGGTCAAGTATCCCGATTATGGTACCGTTGCTAATCGCATGGGTAACTCAGAGGCGAAGCAGAGCTTCGCACCAATTCCAATACAAAAATGAATGACTATCACCACTAACAGATGCACCGACAATCGAAAAATAAAAAACAAGAAAAGAAACATCAGAAAAGAAACGTCACGGTGAATTAATTTTCCGTTGATTGTCAGAGTAAGAAATGATGAGCAATTAGTTTTAGTCAAAAGCAGGCTACGACAGAGTGGATTGAAAAAAAACTAACTAGAATGATGAATACGAATCCAACAAGGAGCAGGACGAGGACGGTTGAGTTGATGACACTGAGCCAGTGGACCTCGAGTGACTTGGGGAAGAAACGGCCTCTGCTGTGTCTCTCCAGCTGCACCCTGTCTTCCACGGTCTTCTCCGTCTCCACCCAGTAGACACTGTAGGAGAACTGGATGGTGCTGAGGGGAGTGTCCTCACTCAACTCCACTGGCTTGTCAGTTGACACCCTGGCCGCAATCACCTGCACGCAGCACGCGATTAATATTTCACTCAATACTAAACACGAGTAGCACGGCAATACTCAACATCAAGTGTACCACGTCACTTTCGCTCACCTCTAGACATACCGGTTCACATAAGGATTTTATGCCTTTCCAGGAACATAAAAAATTGGACGAGCTGATCCTGGTATTAACCACTACTCACATTGGGTCCGTGGTAGCTGAGCAGGAATCTGATGTGAGTGTTGATTTTGCAGATGTGTTTATGGGGCCAAATATTCTGCTCCACATACTCTCCCAGGAAGCCACGTAGAGGCAAGTCGTCTGATGCAAACAAATTAGAATTGGGATAATAAGTATATATAGCTATGGTGTAAACATTCAATTCTGTCAGGTATTTCAACTTCACGTGGATCAATTTGTCAAACTTCTGGAAATCAAATGCTGTTTTTTCTCAAATAGGAAAAAGAGAGCAGCTTAAGAGGAACTGACCCAGATAGAACTCGAAGTAGTATTCTTCTTCGATGGCATTGACGAGTGTATTCACCTGATCACCCGATAAAGCCCTCTCACACAGAACTACTCCTTCAGCATTCGCTAAACATAACAACTGGATGTAAATAAACTAGAGAAAACACTCGAGCACATGAAAAACCTCTACACAGGGGCGAAGCTGAGCTTCGCATCACTTGCGATACAACAATACGGGGCTAAGACAGCATGAAGCTCAAGAACTAGCAAAGAAGACTTCGAACGAAGTTACCCTTGAAAAAGAAAAATAGAAAACGAAACGAAAAAAAAAACGACAGTTAAATAAATTTATATAATTTTAGTCGATTAAAACTTTTCAGGACGTCCAAATGGTTTTGCTTTCGAACATTCAGAACTTTGGCGCAAGAGTCTAATCAATTTCACAAATAATAACGGAAAATTTTAGAAAACAAAATATTTGGTATAAAAAGCCGACAGAATTGAAGCCGGCAGACAATAACCTGAAATTCAACTGAAATATTTCAGAAAATTAAAATTGATTCACAAATAAACTGCCCCAATAGTATCCACGAATGCCATTTATGTACTGAATGCAAAGTGGTATAAAAAATTCGGTAACTAAACTCTATAATTATGCATGCAACTAGATCTATCAAAATGTAAGAAAATAGTTTTGAAAAAAACATGCCCAGACCATAGAATGCGAAATAAGCATCAGAAAAAATTTACCACGCAGTAACAAAGCCGAAAGCGCTTGAGCAGAAACCCTTCCAGCCGAAAAAAAAACATTCAAAAAATTTTAAGCTAATAAAAAATTTCAATTTCCCCTTTCACCCAAAACACACACACGCGCACAGAAAACTTCCGGCTCATCAAACGGCGCAATATGAGGCCACTAAACTGATATAAAATAGGGCGAAACATATGAGCCGAAATAAAAGACAAAAAATAACATTTTAACAATTCCAGTTGGTAAAAAATAAATTCAAAACTATAAAAAAGCAAATGTCGAAAAACGGATATTTCAAATGCCAACAAGCTTCAAAACTTGCTCAATATTTGCAACAGAGAGGACTACAATTTTCAAGAGAGGACAAAGAGGTGAATGAGTCCGGGAAGGAGTCCTGTGAACAGAGTTATTTATGGGAAAAAGTGTCTAGTACCCGATTTCAATACCCTTGTTTATCGCAAGGGTTGAGACAAAAACAAAACAGGCAAATTAGCAACTCTGAAACCACACAAAAAAGACTTGAATATACACAGAACTCATTTCAATATTTTCAAGGCAAGTCAGAGCTCACTGTTGAACTTGATGTCGAAGTTAGAGTATGCCAGTCTGTCTCCCTTCAGAACCTCTCCCAGAGTCATGCTTTTATGTTTTACTTTCTCCGGCTGACAGATGGGCAGAGTGTAGAAGTGGTACGTTTCATCTGGGTTGTTGTAGGGACCCACTTTGTTCACGAACAAATCGATTTTGTCCCCCGCCTTGTAGTACTGCACTACTTGCGCTCCCACAATCGGAAGGCCAAACGCCACCCACCAGTATAGCAGATGCAAGTGGCAGTTCTTATCCAATCTAATCATAACTACCTGAAACTTATCATTTCATAATTCATGACCTCAGGTAATCCTTCAAGATGAAGCAGCAAGTATCAATTTAAATATTGTTCTATCTACATCGCCATACTATTCTGACCTAAACATAAGTGAGATTGACTAAATTGATAGCCTTGCCGACAGTTCGAAACCATTAATTAATCATGGAATAAAATCAATTGATATAATGAAATATTATTATTGGACATTCAAGTTAGCACAGCTAGTTTTCTCCAACTATATAGAAGCAGACATTAAATACGGCAAGAGACAACAACAACGGGGAAGGAATATAGCAGGGTAATATTTTATATCGAAACAATTTAAAAGCGGGTGACTGGTGGTCAATATATCTGTCAATATACATTATTCTTTCCGCTGGCGTAACTTAGCAACACACTTAGCTCATATTCATTATCATATTCAGGCTTTCTACCTAAACAGGAAGCTATACGGGTATCCTTGATACTTCTGTCTAAAAATGGACAGCAACAGGCTGAAAAAAACAGTAATTGCCACCAGCGCACCTATCACCATCACTCTACGTTTTCCAGCGTCTTGCACTGTGTTTCCTCCCGCTGCAGCGGAAGTTGAGGAAGCGTGCTTACTTCCAGCTGCCTGCGTCTGGGTCTCTGCCGCCTTTTCCGGGACATCTTTGGCCGATGCAGGACTAGAGACTGAGGATGAGCCAGCGTTAATGAGGAATATGAATCCTGCAGTGACCAGTCCGTGCAACACGAGGATAAGGTGAGACTCGGCTATGAACTGTCCCTGGCTGCTTCCGTGAATGTAGCTCACCTGGCCCGACTGAGGGTTCCTGTGGGCGAAAGGGGGTCCACGCATATGATTCCACATTTGCCCACTTGTCATGGCGAATATTGCCATCAAACAGATCACGCCCCACATCTACACGCAACAAAACTAGCAGATGGTTAAAGAAGTGTAAGAACTCCAGGAAGACACAGAAAAAAGTTGATTAAAAGGTTTGAACATTTTTCAGCTATCTCATTTCGAAGAGAAAAATATATCACGTAAAGCTCTTTGAATAATGTTGATGATTGGCACTTTTTTCTGAATATTATCCTTTTTTAGCAAACACTGGATCAACAGGTAATTTTGATTCCATTTTTTTTAAACAAGAAGTCATTCAAGTTTTTCGTGACCCTTTTGCTTTTGCTGTTCGATGGTTAAGTTTTAACATGGAAACGAACTGAACTTAAAAATAAATCATGCTTTTGCTGTTCGATGGTTAAACACTTGCGAGAACACGACCAAAAAGCAGCTCTATCAAAATAAAGTAGAAATAAGCCTCGAATTTGCAAAAACTCGAGTCTTAGCAAAAACTTGAATTAGCAAAAATCTGCGACCTAGCAAATTTGAGTCTCACGCACTAACCATTCAGCCAGGGACGCTTAAAATCCCCAAAAACGCAGCTGCACATGCTAATAAATTGCCACTTCGATGCAGCCAAAAGTAACACCAAATACAAAAAGACACACTTTTGCATGTAATAAATTGGAAAGCATGAAGCCACATTATGTATAAATTACGCATTTCAAAAAAATGCGAGATATATTGAGTTAGAAAATTTCGAAATCGAGACTTTAGTATTGTTATGTTGTTTGAAACAAATAGCTTTCTTCGGTTCACTTGAGGAAATAAAAAAGCATCAACTGTAAATTTATAACTATTGGAATGTCAAAGCACATGTTATGAATAAGCTGTAAAGGTGCAACTACATTAAAAAGGTGCATCGAATATCAAAAAATCTTATTGACAAATCGATGCAGCAAAATTCGACGCAGCAAATATGGTTGCTTTAGGCCGCAGCAAAAATTGCGAATTAGTCACAACAAAAGCCGCAACAATAATTGCGACTTAGGTTTTAAAAAATTTCGTACTATAACACATTGCTTTGCAGTGTAAACAATGGAAACGAACTGAAAAATAAGTCACAAGTCAGACCGCAAAAAAAAATAAATTTGAGCGTGAACAAACGTTAAGAGTTTTCCTGAAAAAAAAACAACACAAAAATCAGCAAGACTATTTAGTGAAAATTCCTTTCTTCTTTTTTGCACTCAAAAACAAAGCCGAAAGACAGTTGGAAAATAGTCAAGGATCACAGGTAAACAGAAACTTTTTCGAAATTAGAAGTCGATCATGTTTTTCGTGACCTTTAGACTTTTGTTATTCGATAGCGGAGTTTGCCTTCCTTTAACAAAGGACATGAACTGGACTCAAAAAGAAAGCAAAAGTCAAACCACGAAAAAAGTAAATTTGAGCCTATCCTCGAAAAAAAACAATCGCGATCTCTATAGTTTAAATTATGTTCATCGGATCTTAAAAATAAATTTTACCGAATTTCACGAATTGTTTATGATTGGCATTTTATCTTGAAGTTATCTATTTTAGCATCAACTGGATCAATAGGCAACTTCATTCCGCTGGAAAATCAGAAAGTATAAGTCAAGTTTTGAAACTAGAAGTCATTCACATTTTTTCTGGACCTTTACGTTTTGGCTGTTCGATAGCTGAGTTTGCCTGCCTCTTAGTGCTGATTTAAATTATCCGTATAAAACTTGAATTTTCAAACGCATTTTTCTCAAATTGGGTTCAGACGACAAAGCGTGAAAAGAACAAAAATTACTTAGAATTTAACCAGAAGTAATATGGTGCAATTTTTTCTCAAATATTCTCAAGCAAAACTTTACCCCAAAAATGGGTCAGTTCAAGATTTACGCTGAAACTACCGAGTCAATGGGTGAGAAAAATATAACAAAAAAGGCCTCTCACACAGTCTAACAAAGTTTTAGAAGGGTTAAACTTCCAAAAACTTCCGTTAAACGTTTGAAATTTATTTCTAAGTTAAGATTATGATTTTTTCACAGTAAAACAACCTTTTTGGCAACCAACCAGAATTATACTTCTCTAATAGTTATTATCGAAAGTTTATTTCTTCCAGTAGTTTAACCCTTTGTTGGACAGTGTGATAGGCTTCTTTTGGTATAACTTTCTCATCAATTACCTCGGTAGTTTCAGCGCAATTCTTGAGTAATTCAAACGAACAAAATGGCCCATTTTTGGGGTAAAAGATTGGCTAGAATTTTGCAGAAAAAAGGCACCATAGTAAATCTGATATAATTCTTAAGCATTTTTTGTTTTCTTCAATTTTTATCTAGTCAAAACCCAATTTGAGAAAAAAGCGCCTGAGTTTTCAAATGTTGTTCGTTGTGTCCGGCTAATTTATAGCGAAATGACAATATCAGTGAAATGAACTTCCTAGTCGACCAAAACGAGTGCTTTGTAGTGGTTAGAACATAGTTGAAAGATGCCCGAGGGAAAAAGGGCCCGGCCTGAGGGCACGAAGTGCGCGATGGCTGCTATTTTGCCCGAGGCCACCTTCAACTATGTTCTAACTGTTGAAGAGTATGTTTTTGCTCTTTCTGAGGGAAAGATGCCGGAAAATTGTGAAAGAGCCCGGAAAAGTGCGCAAAACTATGCAAATGATTTCTTTTTTCATTCATGCGTTCTAATATTTCATTTTTCATTCATGCCTTGTCGTGAAAGAACATGTGTGAAAGAGCAAAAACATACTCTTCTGGATTTTTCACCTAAAATTTACATTCTGAAAAGAATAAAAAATGTTCTGCGACGTCACAATGAGCAGTTTTACCATCGTTCAATTTTGGCTGACCGAAAGGATATTGCCAACGATTTGGCAAATACTATAAAAAAGGAAATGAACTAAAATTTGAAGAAAATAAAAATAAAACCACAAGAAATTCAAATGAAAATCTAAAAAACTACCAAAAAATCATCACGACCTACATAAGTCACAATCACTCCGTTCTTTTATACTCGAACAATTAGATTCAATACTGGAAACTGTCCGAACTTAATTGATCTAACTCTCTAAAATGTACAAAAATACAGCAGAAAAGAGCAGTCCAAATTGCGATCGATCGTCTCAGAAAACAGTTCAACTACAAACACAGCCAATCGAAAATTGGAAAAGAAAAACTTAAATTCCACTTTCAAAAATTGAAATCGTTCACGTGTTTCGCGTCATTTACGTCACTGTCAGCAGATGAATTTCAAGTGAACTCAAAAAAGGCATATATACCTAATTGCATTCATAAATGCATCAATATGTATGAATGCACATCTGTAGTTATTAGAGACTTCTATGCTCATTTTAAGACTTATCCTGAAAAAAAAAATCACCAAGACGCATATAAGAGTTTTCACCACGTTCATTACTCCTAAACAAATGATAGTTTCAAGTTCAACCTCATGTATATACGCTTTTTAATGTAGTGCACGAACAATGCAGAACCACGCTTTTTAAACTCATTTTTGGCATTTACTTGTTCTGCCTCTTCGTTGAGCGTACTCATAATACTTGACTGATGGCTTACAGTGCTATTGTAGATGAACTCTAAGTTATTTCTCTTCATGAACAGAATTCCGGCCACTATGATGAAAAGCAGACTCATTGCAATGGTGCCCGAGTAGTTGGGGGGTCTGAAGATGCGGATGGCGATACCAGTGCGCTCCATGGCCCATTTGGATATGGCCTCCGCACTGAAACCGTACTTCTGAATTTCAAACGTGTCATCGCCCTTCCGCTTTCCTTTTGGGGGGAAATGGATGATGACTGGCGCAGAGTTCAAATTCATCAGCTGGAAAACCTTAACAACAGCGGAAGAAATGCAAGAGAGAGCTATAAACAGCATCCAAATTCTTATGCTTCAAATTATTTTAGTTAAACTTATCCGATGCTTAACGATAAAGAGGTACAAAGGAACAATAACAATTTCCTTTTTTATCCTTCAATTTTAAAGAGCAAACAAAATTTGGATCTCATCCGCCCCATTTGCAAATCGGGCGGATATTCGTAACTAGGTATAAAATTCTGATATGCTTACCTGTTGATTTATTTCTTTATAGGGGGGATATTCGTCACTAGGTACCCGAGAGGGGATATTCTTAAAGAGATCCCTAAATTCTACAGAAACAGTTTTTGATCCCAAATTCGAAGGGATTGATGGAATAATTCAGCTCCGTGTGGAATGGGGAAATGTATCAATTACCTGAGGTCAAACTTAACAAACTTAACATGATGGTTCACCTGCGACTTTTTTCCGTAAACTAATGTGCTTTTCAATTGGTATGTCTAATATGTTACTAGACGCGAAATATATCACATTTTGCAGTATAACGCCAGTTGGAAATGAGAGTAGAGACAATATTTACCTCTGATCCTTCGTCAAAATCTACGGAGGCGAAGAACAGTTCCGAATTGCTGTATGCATTGGAGAACCTCCACGAATTGGCAACAATCTGGTACTCATCCATGACTTCCCGACAGATCTGACAGCCTCTTCCAGGGGCCATAGCAGTGAACATGACAACCATACTATAATTCCGAGGTGACGATCGAACTACAAAAAAAAACAAATTCGCCGATTCGACAGATTTACGAGGATTTTTCAAGGCATCATTGGATCAATTGAGCTGCCTCCTCCCTCCCGCGTAAGCAAAACACATTTAAAGTTGTTATCAAACACGAGCGAGTAAATTATGAGTATACAGCACGCAAGGGCCCTAAGAATTTAGACGTCAATCAAATTAGAGTAGCGTAAAATAACTGAATTTCGCTGATAACTCTTTGTGAATTTGGACGATAACAACTTGGCTAACAAAATTTTTCGCTTAGAACAAAAAGAGGATATTAGCACAGAACCGATCGAAATTATTATTATTAATGCATTATAAAACCGTTCATCGAAAAAGTATAGTACATTTTTGCAATGCAGAAAATATACAACTGCGACATCAATAACCTGATTTGCGGTTGGACAACAATTAAATTTTAGTAAACAATTTTCAGGAAATTTCGCAACTAACTAAATTCAGTTTTTTTTGGATCGTCTAATTTGCTTTTCGTCTAACTTCCTAGCCTCCAGCACGCAAGCAACTGAGCGACTGAAGCAAATCGATTGTGGCGAGCCATTAGGCGACTAATTTGGTCGTTTTTCTTGGTGTTAGGGATTTTTGCAGAATATTTTAGCATGCCAATATTTTAGCAGACTCAGAACAATTAGCAAGTCAGAAAGCTAACTTCAAGGCGGCAATTCTCATGGGCGAAGGACCGAATGTACGAAAAACTTGTGGGCGAAGGACCGAAACAAAATTAGCCTAAAGTCAATTTTTAAAAAGAATCAATTGCCATTCAATTAAAATGAATTTAATTTGAAACCCTTGAAAAATAAAATTTGTTCCAAATAGGCCGCGGTCAGTGACAATTTTAAAATTTTGCATATTTCTGCCGTTTTTATATTCGGCAAATATCAATATTACGTCCCTGGAAATGGTGAGGTCCCATTTGTACCAAGATTCATTCGTACCAAAATGAAAAATCGGTCCATTTGTACCAAAATTATGCATCTCGATTTCTGATTGGTCGAATTGTGAGCAAACGAATTATTACGTTAACTTTCTACTGTTCAAACAGAAGAAAACTAAACAGCAGAATGGCGACCACCGCAGTCGCGCTAACGTGTTGCAAGCTTGCCAACAGAGGGTAGGACTCTATATGAAAATTAGATTCGGTTATCGCCGCTAAGCGGCGACCCGCGCGTAGCGTGCTCACGGGCAACCTTAAGCCAAGAGTTTAAAATAGTCGGCTTAGTAGTCTTTGGCTAATTAAATATTTTCGGTAGTAACGCGAGACTGATTTATCATTGGCCAATAGTCTTCAGCCAATTCATATTTTTGGTACTAACGCGAGACTGATTTATAATTTTGGTACTTGTGAACACCCACCCCTGGAAATGTTTACTTTCTTTCAGATTTTCACGTTTTCTTTCCAAGTTTAAGATAAAAGAAATCTGATTGGCTGATTTTTATTTTCGCTCGCGCATTCGGTCCTTCGCATATGAGGGATTCCACCAACTTCAAACAAGGCATTGGAATTTAAATTTTTTTCTCGCATATATACTTTTTTGAGTCGATTTTTTTGTTGATAAATCTTGAGATGATGGTCCTAATGGGGGACGCTTGATCAATCTTGCACCAGTTTATTATGTTGGTTTGCTAGAAGACTCAATTTTCACTTTTTATTCTAAAAGATTGGTCTGCTAAACGATCGGTTCCCGTTTTTCTCACTCTGAATCTAGTTTTTGGGATTTCATTGTGGTGTTCCAATTTTGTTTGGTGTTCCATAACAATGCTATAGCAGAGCGGCATTCCCGAATAGCACAAAAAACTAGAACCTTCTTAATAAGTAATAAGCAACACAACAATATGACTAAAAATTTGGATTACTTTTATTCTAACAATTAAATTGTCTAACTTTTTTCCAAACTAAGCTAAGAACAAACCCAATGGACCAGAAGTATTTTTATTGGGTAAAAGCTTTGCGTTAATGCAATTAGATAGCAATAAAAATTCGGCTATCGCAATATTTTATTCAGCTATCCTGGAACAACATTTTTCAGCTATCCAGTAAAAAAACAGCAGAAACGAATAAACGTCTTGGGGTGGACACGGGAAGCAGTCATCAAACAGTGTACAGCCTCTGTCGCAGTTAATTTTGTTGTAAATCAGATCTTTGTCGGCTATATGGGGAAAAAAGACTTCGGCTATCCGTGAAAAAATTTTCGGCTATCCGTGAACAAAAAAGGACCAGGTAACATCCAACACCCCCCCCCCCCAAACACGTTGAGGGGGGAGGATGTTAACTTGGTTGTAAGCGGGAGTTTTTAGCCAATCAGAAACGCGCTTTTGACACGCAGCACTTAGCCAACTTAATGTATATTGAACGCTGGGGTGGAGGATCTTAACTTGGTCTATTTAGGGAGGGTTGTTGTTGTTGTGTGTGACGGCCCTCTATCTTGAAATAGGGGGCTAGAAAAGCCCAGTCTTTCGAACGAACTTCAGCACGTTCTCTGGGGCCGTCTGGAGCAGTTTCAAGTATGGATGCTTGCCGAGATAGGTCTTTCTCTCGACCTCCCATCGTGGGCAGTAGAGGAGGAAATGCTCAGTATCTTCTTCGTCCTCGGTCCCGCAGTGCTCACCCGAGGGATCTTCGGTGTTTCCATGTCTATGTTTTGTTGAATTCAGTGGTAGGTGGCGGTTCAGTTGGAGTCGGTGTAAGGTAGTTTTTTCGGTTCGCGTTCTGCCTGTAACCGACTCCAGGCAGTCTCCGCCTGTAGCTCTTCTATGAATTGACTCTGGGTCTGTTCTCAGCAGGTAGTGTTCTAAGAAGCGCGGTTCTCTTTCGCCTTTGAGCGCTTCTTTCACATCTGTGCTGTTTATGTCGAAAAGTTTAGAACAAAAAAAGGATATTAGCACAGAACCGATCGAAATTATTATTATTAATGCATTACAAAACCGTTCATCGAAAAAGTATAGTACATTTTTGCAATGCAAAAAATATACAACTGCGACATCAATAACCTGATTTACGGTTGGACAACAATTAAAATTTAGTAAACAATTTTCAGGAAATTTCGCAACTAACTAAATTCCGTTTTTTTTGGATCGTCTAATTTGCTATTCGTCTAACTTCCTAGCCTCCAGCACGCAAGCAACTGAGCGACTGAAGCAAATCGATTGTCGCGAGCCATTAGGCGACTAATTTGGTCGTTTTTCTTGGTGTTAGGGATTTTTGCAGAATATTTTAGCAGGGCAATACTTTAGCAGACTCAGAACAATTAGCAAAACAGAAAGCTAACTTCAAGGCGGCAATTCTCATGGGCGAAGGACCGAATGTACGAAAAACTTGTGGGCGAAGGACCAAAACAAAATTAGCCTAGAGTCAATTTTTAAAAAGAATCAATAGCCATTCAATTAAATTGAATTTAATTTGAAACCCTTGAAATATAAAAAATGTTCCAAATAGGCCGCGGTCAGAGACAATTTTGAAATTTTGCATATTTCTGCCGTTTTTATATTCGGCAAATATCAATATTACGTCCCTGGAAATGGTGAGGTCCCATTTGTACCAAGATTCATTCGTACCAAAATGAAAAATCGGTCCATTTGTACCAAAATTATTCATCTCGATTTCTGATTGGTCGAATTGTGAGCAAACGAATTATTACGCTAACTTTCTACTGTTCAAACAGAAGAAAACTAAACAGCAGAATAGCGACCACGGCAGTCGCGCCAACGTGTTGCAAGCTTGCCAACAGAGGGTAGGACTCTATACGAAAATTAGATTCGGTTATCGCCGCTAAGCGGCGACCCGCGCGTAGCAGGCTCACGGGCAACTTTAAGCCAAGAGTTTAAAATAGTCGGCTTAGTAGTCTTTGGCTAATTAAATATTTTCGGTAGTAACGCGAGACTGATTTATCATTGGCCAATAGTCTTCAGCCAATTCAATATTTTTGGTACTAACGCGAGCCTGATTTATAATTTTGGTACTTGTGAACACCCACCCCTGGAAATGTTTACTTTCTTTCAGATTTTCACGTTTTCTTTCCAAATTTAAGATAAATGAAATCTGATTGGCTGATTTTTATTTTCGCTCGCGCATTCGGTCCTTCGCGTATGAGGGATTCCACCAACTTCAAACAAGGCATTGGAATTTAAATTTCTTTCCCGCATATAGACTTTTTTGAGTCGATTTTTTTGTTGATAAATTGTGAGATGATGGTCTTAATGGGGGACGCTTGATCAATCTTGCACCAGTTTATTGTGTTGGTTCGCTAGAAGACTCAATTTTCACTTTTTATTCTAAAAGATTGGTCTGCTAAACGATCGGTCCCCGTTTTTCTCACTCTGAATCTAGTTTTTGGGATTTCATTGTAGTGTTCCATTTTTGTTTGGTGTTCCATAACAATGCTATAACAGAGCGGCATTCCCGAATAGCACAAAAAACTAGAACCTTCTTAATAAGTAATAAGCAACACAACAATATGACTAAAAATTTGGATTACTTTTATTCTAACAATTGAATTGTCTAACTTTTTTCCAAACTAAGCTAAGAACAAACCCAATGGACAAGAAATATTTTTATTGGGTAATAGCTTTGCGTTAATGCAATTAGATAGCAATAAAAATTCGGCTATCACAAAATTTTATTCAGCTAACCTGGAACAACATTTTTCAGCTATCCAGTAAAAAAAAACATCAGAAACGAATAAACGTCTTGGGGTGGACACGGGAAGCAGGCATCAAACAGTGTACATCCTCTGTCGCAGTTAATTTTGTTGAAAATCAAATCTTTGTCGGTTATCAGGGGAAAAAGACTTCGGCTATCCGTGAAAAAATTTTGGAATATCCGTGAACAAAAAAGGACCAGGTAACATCCAACACCCCCCCCCCCCCAAACACGTTGAGGGGGGAGGATGTTAACTTGGTTGTAAGCTAGAATTTTTAGCCAATCAGAAATGCGAATTTTGACACGC